TTGCTGGTGGTGGATGCGGGCATCTGGGGTACTTTTCTGCTGGGAGTTGCTTTTAGGCATGTAATCTGTGGGTTTTATTTATTCTTACCCTCCCAGTCAGGTTGCCCTCCGAGATTCAAAAACTTCCCCCAGACCCGCCAGTGCGAGGGTTTCCTGGTGTTTGGAAACTTCCTCTATTAAGACTCCCTTCCTGGGACAGATCTGTCCTTAGCTCTTTCGTCTCTCTTTTTATCTTTTATGTTTTGTCCTACCTCCTTTCGAAGACAATGGGTTGCTTTTCTGGGCGCCTGATGACCTCAGCTAGCGATCAGAAGTTGTTTTGTGAAGTTTGCTCTGCGTTCGGTTATCCTTTTGATGAATTTGTAGGAGAGAAAGTGGTCTCCCCGTCCTATTCCTCCGCCCTCTTGGCTCCTCCCCTCAGTGTGATCTTTAATAATTCATTTAATCCAGAGATCTCGGGGTCCAAACATAGAGCTGAGTTGAAAGTGAAAGTGAAAGTGTTAGTCACTCAGTCATGTCCAACCCTTTGCGACCCCACGCACTGTAGCCCGCCAGGCTCCTCTGTCCATGGACTTCTCCAGGCAAGAATACTGTACTACAGTACTGGGTTGCCATTTCCTTCTCCAGGGAATCCTCCCAATCCAGGGATCGAACCCAGGTCTCCTGCATTAAAGGTAGATTCTTTAGACAGAATTAGACCCCTATAATATTAGACTAAATATTCAACTAAAAATCATCACCAGTCTATGAATGGAATATATACAGAGAAACTTTCTTCCTTGGAACAATGACAGAAATTTTAAGCTAGATAAATTTTAGAATGCTAGCTTTAGACTGAAAAACCAGAAATTAATTTTACTTGTTCCTCCAAATATTTAATTGGTATCCTTATGAATAAAATATTGTGACTCATGTTTGTTGAATGGATAAATTAGCTCTGGTTAGTACTTAAAGACAATAACACAGAAAGAAATGGCAGAAAGACAGAGGTAACTGTCAACAGTATTATCACCATCCTCCTTCTCCAATCCAGCTAACCCTGATGATGGGCCCTTTTATTGACATATTTTATATAAAGAGGAAGGTCATTTATAATCATTGTGTACAGACAGACATGAAAAGATAGTATTTTAGTGTCCAAAAGGAACATTTCATATTTTCATATTTTATGAAACCACATTTTATATGGCTTTATATTTTTTGATCAAACTATCACATTCAAAAATATCTTATTTCTCAGTTCTAGTTTTGCCTTCACCTAACGACTGAGAGACTGAACTGAACTGAACTGAACTGAATTCTTCCTATGAGAAATTTCCCCTCAGAATGTCCCCTAATCCTGGGAGCTCTTTATGAGTCTTACACTGGATTATTTTGTTTTACCTTAACATTATTCAACATGTTCCTGAAATAAAAGTAAGCAGAGTTTCAGCTGTCACTCATATTTCCCCTGTGGTTAAGAGTGCTCCTTAAAATAAAAATATTGTTTTAACACAAATGCAATATCATATGGAAATATGTATTTCCACTTTGTAAGCTACTTTCTAAAATATGAATTAAAATAATAGAAAAATTAAACAAGTCTGGCCAACTTAGCCTTTTCTATTTTTAGTTCCCATGGCTTTGTCTTTTAGTGCAAAATTCCACATAAGGTGAAGAAAAGACAGTAAATGTCAGCAAGATGATGGAGTAGCCAAAATGTGCAGGAAGCCAGCATGAATAAGAGGAAATTCATTAGCAAGTCTTCCCAAATGTGTTTATAAATAATTAAATTTGTGGAGAAAATTATACAAGTCTGGGATTTGCTTGAAAATAGTGAGGGTTGGGGTGGAGGAGGAGAAATGAGCACAGATGGAAACAGTACAGGCCGTGGGAAGCCAGTTGTCTAAACTGGGTGATGAGTCCATGGGGTATATTATAGGATCCTTTCCACATTTATATACATTTAAACTTTGTGGATGTAATAATCAAACGACATTTTCTCTCCAGATTGTCTTTTCAAAAAAACCTAAATTGTTCCCTCTGACATAAAGGAATAATAAAGTAATCACACAAAGTTTCATACACTAACTTCCTTCATCAATAATGGTGTTAATCTTTAAATATTTTGCTGGCACTTTAAAACGCATCAAGAGCTATCCCTCAATCCTCTTTGTTCTTGACTTAATTCCTAGAGAGAATCAGGCAAACAGCATATGACTTCCATGCCTACATTAGCTCAGTACACATTTGTTGCTGTTGTTGCTGTTATTCACTCACTAAGTCGCGTCTGACTCTTTGCAACCCCATGGACTATAGCACTCCAGGTTTCCCTGTCCTTCACTATCTCCTGGAGTTTGCTCAGACTCATGTCCATTGAGTCAGTGATACTATCTATCCAGCCCATTCTCTGCTGCCCACTTCTCTTTTTGCCTTCAATCTTTCCCAGCACCAGGTCTTTTCCAAGGAGTTGACTCTTCACCTCAGGTGGCCAAAGTGTTGGAGCTTGAGCTACAGCATCAGTCCTTCCCGTGAATACTCAGGGTTGATTCCCTTTAGTTCTGACTGGTTTGATCTCCTTGCAAAACACATATGTAGACAAAATGAACGGACCAGGGTGGAATTCTTAAGTCTACATTTGATTGGTAATTGATGAGTATTGCTCCAAAATCTGTTCTATGGGTCCACTGATCAACTGATTGGTGACTAATTCAATGCATGAAATTCTCAAAATTAATTTGCTGCATCAGGCCCACTCAGTCAGCATCTATCAAATACTTCATTCTTTAATTTTTTTGTTTGTCATATTTCTTTCTCTTATTTTAAAATTTCATTATTAGGGTGTAGTTGATTTACAATGCTTAATTCGGTTTCTGCTGCGCAATAAAGTGTTTCAGTTATATATCAACTCTTGTTTAGGTTCTTTTCTCATATGGGTCATTAGAGAGTATTGTGTAGAGTCCACTGTGCTACAGAGTGGGTCCTTATTAGTTTTTCATTTTATGTATAGTAGTGTGTGTATGCCAATTTCTTTAATCAACTTACTCCAGGGAACATATTTTGAGCCACTATGATGTGAAAGTCAGCTTTAACCAGGAATTAAATCATTGAGACTCACTTGCTGCTTTGAATGAAGTGGAGAGAAAAGCACATGGGAAACTATCAGGCAATGTGGAATAAGTATGCTGATGGGGCAGGCTGAACAATGCCCCCTCCCAAAGACATCCACAGCCTAGTCACCAGAACCTGCTAATGTGTTACCTCACATGGCAGAAGATGCTGTGAAGTGTGATTAAATTAAGGGTTTTGAGCTGAGGAGACTATCTGGACTGTTCAAGTGGGCCCGGTGTTATCAGAGGATCATTCTAAGTGAAAGAGGTGCAACTGGGAAGGGTTAATTTTGACTCCATACTGGATATGTTTCTGTGACTTTATCCTTGTTTTTTGCTTTTGTAGCATACATAATGCTTTGCCTCAGGGGATCCTGCCCCAACTCTGCCTGACCCTTAAACCAAAGTGCCTTTGTGTACCTCACAGGGAGATAACCTGGCCCTGCCCCCTTGTGAAGGACTGTGACATTCTTCACTTCCTGGTGTGAAGAACGGTGCTGCTGCCCATCTGCTGCTTGCCAGCATGGCTCAGAAATTCACATTTTGGGGGAGCCAGGATCACAGATAGCTGTGGCCACTTCACACCACCTGTGAAATGTCTGTAAGGAAATGAAACTTGCACACCACTCTGTCCAAGGTTTAAGTTCTAGGAGATATTCGCAAGCATTAAATGGTCTTTTTATTTTGTTTCCTTACCCCTCCCTCATCTCTGATCCAGTAAAGTACCTGGCATTCAGGCCCCGACAAGATGGTTATTTTGAGATGTTAGTCTGCCATCTTCTCGGTCAGCCAGCTCTCCGAATAAAGTTGTAATTCCTTGCCTCAACACTTCATCTCTTGGACTTACCGGCTTATCATGCAGCAAGCAGAGCAAGCTTGGACTCAGTAACAGAGGGAGATGGGAATGTCAGAGCCAGAGAGAGACCTGAAGACCCTACACTGCTGCCTCTGAAGGTAGATGGAGGAGCCGCAAGCCCAGGAATGCAGGCGACCCCCAGCAGATGGAAAAGGCAAAGAAGATTTACTCCTAGGGCCCCAGAAGACATGCAGCCCTGCCAACACCTTGCTTCTAGCCTAGAAAGACTCATTTTGAACTTCTGACATCTAGAGACTCCAGACCTAAGAACTTGGGATCTTAAATTTGTATTCTTTTATGCCTCTGTGTTGGTGGTGATTTGTTACAGAAGCACTAGGAAAGGCACAGATAGAAACAAGATCACTTGCAACCATACACATCAGGAGTCCTTTTAAGGAGCTTAAGTGGAAACAAGGCAGAGTTCACCATTTCTGTGTTGGTTAGATGTGTATTGTCTGGAGACCAGCTGCTAACCACAGTGGCTATTTAAATTTAAGCTTCTAATAAAATTTTAAATCCACTTTCTCAGTTGTACTAGTCACATGTTCAACCACTATAAGTGGCTAATGGATGTTCTGTCGGATAGGATAGTGTCAGCTAAAAAAAAAGAAAACGCAACCTAAAAATTGAGAATTATGTTTTATTCAGTGAACAAATCTGAGGATTTAAGCCCAGGATATAGCATCTCAAATAACTCTTGAGTGATTGTTCTGAAGAGGCAAGGGAGGAGCCAGGATATATAGATGTTTATGCCCCCAAAACCAGGTAGTCAGAACATCAAATGATTGCTGTTAATTGAAGAGTATATGTCTCAAGTTAAAGAATTTAGCACTTTTCTGTGTTTGGGAACCCGTGAGAGTGTGAGCTCACTGAGATCATTCCTTTGATATGCTGCCAGCTGTCCGGGCCAGCACCCTGCGTCTCTCACCCCAGTCCCCTCAGGGGCACCGCCTGGGAAGGATGAGGCTGCTGCAGCTGAATGCTGAATCGTGGACCTTCTGTTTGCATTCTGAGGTCCCTGGAGTGAGGGGCTTCGAGTGAGGGCTTGACGCTGCAACAGCCTTTGTTTACTGATACGGTGGGTGGCATCCTTAGCTCACAGTAGGCACTGAACATTTCCATCATTACAGAAAATTCTCTTGGACCACCTGGCTTTAGATACTTAAGAGTGTCCGCTAACTTCTGTCATTCTCCTGGGATGTGACAGGCTTTGGATGCATCATCCCAGCCAGGGTGGAGCACGGGGCTGGGGCAGATGCAGAAGCTTTTGCTTGACTTTCAGTTACTTGTTAATCACGATCAGCCTTTCACTATCAGTTCTGCCTGCACTTCAGAATGTACTGGGGAGTTTTTAAAAAAATACTAATGCCCACCCAAAGCAGCTGAGTTAGAATCTCTAGGAGAAAGTTTGAGTTTTAGTATTATTAATGCTCCCTACATAACACCAACATCCATCCAAGATGTCTGAAAGGCATGTGAAGGTCTGACAAGCAGGGAGACTTACAGAGTAGAAACAAATTTATCATAGTGCAAACTGTGCCCCATTATAATTTAATAGAACTATTATAGTAATTTTATTTAAATATATGAAATCTGGTATTGGAAAGATCTTTCTCTTTATTCTTATAAAAGTTACTTGGAGACTATTTACAAATATGTAATTGCAGCCAGAAAAACGTGTCTGACTAGTTAAGTAAGTTTTATGGCACAAACCTTACCATCCAATGCCAGGGGGTATGTCCAGAACAAATGAAGAAATATGTGTTTGTTAATATATTTGTGGATTGACTATTACTAATATTTATAATGTTGTTTTAGAACATTTAAAGTGTACCTATAAACATATATTTATAGTATATAGTATGTACATTATTTTTTTTTTACTTTTAGTAGAAATCTGCTTGACTGTTTAGCCCATAAACACACTTTAGGAGTATACATTTAAAACATAGGTTTTTAACCTTGGCACAGATGTAGCAGATTAATAGACTTAAGTCATAAAAGCCAGGAATAATAAACAGCTATCGGCTTTTAAAGGACATGACATGGGTTTAATAATGAAATGCCAGTGTATTTTTAAAGTACCATTTCCATAAAAACAAAATTTCCAAAAGTTCTAATGCTAACCCATCAAACAACAGTTCTGCAGAATACAATGGCTCTTTTCCTGGCCAAGATAAAAGCACAAAGATCGTGAGTGAAAAGAATAAACCGGAGAATGCAATTCTTGGATTAGTGAGTAGGAACTTGTTCCAGGATATGAGTTGCTTTTTTAGAACAATCATTCGAAAACATGTGTTCCTGATGCATTGATGGGAGTGGCCCAGATCAGAGCCCCTGGGAAGGGAAACACTTGGGACCCTGTGGTGCCACCTTCAACATTTTAACGCTTTCTCTAATTCCTTGTGAGACAAACAATGAAAAGGATGGAGAGCACTGAGAAGGATGTTGCTGGGATTCCTTACAATGGGGGTTAAGAAAAATTAGTCTATCCACGAGCGAATTGGACCTTGACAAAGCAATTTTCCTTCAGCTGTGGTATAGCTCTACATATTTATGCATTCTATGGTATTTTGAAGACAGCAGTTACTTAATGTGACTGTAGCTGTATAAATACATATATCATACATATATAAATATATAGTATATGTATATGTACACATATGTGTACATATATTAATATATTAATCATAATTATAATTAATATATCAATAATAGCATTACCTTATATTAGTGTTGCATGTAATAATAACAATATAATCATATGCAATTGGAGATTAATTATAACTAACATATACATATACAGATGTACATATCTGTATATAAACATGTAAGTTTCCCAAAAGTAGAGTGTTTCTAAAACCCTTTGTAAGCAGAAATGGCATAAAGTGAAAAAGCAACTATTCATAAGACAAAATGTTTGAGTGTTCCCAAACCCCCCAAATAACCTACCAATTCATACAAAATAGCACAAAAAATGTAAAATAACACTACCGTATAGTAAAAGTGGGAGTGATATGAAAAAGACACAGCATGTACAAAGTAGAAATAACGTATACGCTGCGGGGTCTCACCTGCCAGCATTGAAAGGTCAGCCAGTTCCCTGGGAGGCTGAGTGGCGCTGATGGCAGAGGTGAGGCTTACTCCTCGGAGGTTGGGGTGGTGGGAGGCAGAGGAGACAGGGTGCAAGAAAGACAGGAAAAGGTCACCTTTTAACAGCTCATCCTTGTCTGAGTCAATCAGGGCAGGCAGGTAGCTAACATGTGCCTGATGTAAAGCTTGAGGCTCCATCTGCCATGCTGGCGTGGCCGGTGTGGACGGCTTGACGCAGCACGGGATGCCTTCCCGCCTAGCCCCATGTGTTTTCCTAGCACATGATTCTTTGCAGGCACAAAAACAATCTACAAACCTCCCTGAACATGCACGCCCTTTCAAAACTAGAGTCAGACTTACCTGCAACCCTTGCATCGCTGGCAAGCCCAGCAAAATTGCACAGAGTGCTTCTCTTTCTGCCCCTGAAGACTTCATTTTCAGGCTGTTCACTGTTGCTTTTGATTGCAGTTTGTATCCTCCCCATATACAACTGCATCCACTCTTCCTCTGTCAGATCTTGGTCAAGCAAGGCCAAAATCGCTTCAACATCACCGCCATTTTTGTTCATGCCAAGTGGAGGAAGTGCACAATTTTTGACAATCAGAAGACACCTGTAGTCAAGGTTATTTTCTCGATGGTATTGTTCAACAAAGGAGCTAATGTATCCACTCATGTGGGGGACCCTTCAACAACAGTGGGGGGTGGGGGTACCTAACCTGCCCAAGTCAAAAGGACGAAAATCCAAGTGAGACTTTATAGCACACCCTTCAGATCCACAGTTTTACATTCTGAAGATTCAACCAACAAGGGATGATGTAGTATTATAGTAGCATTTACTGAAAAAAATCTGCCTAGAAGCGGAGCCCCACAACTGAAGACTTCACAGCCTAGAGCTTCTTCGGTCCACGACAGAGGTCACTGCAGTGAGCAGCTGAACACAGCAGCTGGAGAGTAGCCCCGGCTCGCTGCAACCAGAGAAAGCCTGCACGTAGCGATGAAGACCCAGGGCAGCCAGAAATAAATTAAATAATAGAATAGATAGTGGCTCAGAAAATTTTGAAACTTAAGAATCTGACATAAAAAAACTTGCCCTTAAAAACTAAAGTTTAACAAACATTTATTTGGACCTGTTAAGCATTGGGCTGAATTCTGACCCCACTCCCTTTAAGGAGCCAATTTAAAAAACAGATTAAATGGTAGGTCCAAGGGCAGAGGAATGGTCAGGATTCTGTTAACACAAAGAATGGATACTCAGCCTAATGTGACCTCAGGAAGGCTTCTTGGAGGAGATGAAAATTCAGCTGAGTGTTGAAAAACAAAGAGTTGCTATAGGCATCATTCTGCTGAGTGAGGACTATTGCTGAGGGTTTGGAGGAAGTGAGTTGTGGACAGAGAAAAGAGCATAAAGAACTAACCGAATTATATTTTTAAGCAAAGAATTAGAAAAAAAACTTTGCAAACTTGAAATGTGGCATATGCTATAAAGATGACCAGAAATGAAGCTGGAAAGAAAGGCAGTGACTAGGTGATAAGGACCCTGTGCACTTTGTTTTAGAGACTGAATGTTCTTCTTTGCACTTGGTCACATCTGCATTTTAGATTATTCAGTCTAGCTGTAGCAGGAAAGATTTAAGTGGATCAGAAATGGAAGCAGAAAGATGAGTTAGAAGGTTAATGCAAACCAGCAATGAAGAAATTGTGACCTAGAGTAACAGCCACAGGGAAGGGAACAAGGTGTGAAGTCTGTGGTTATGTAAGTGATCAATAACCAGAAATTGGTAACTGAACAGATAAAGAAGAGTGTGTAGAAGAAAAACATTAGGACTTGTTCCCAGCTTTCCGAGGGGGTGACTGGGAAATTGTTGCTATTTCTGGGTTAGTTTGAGTAAGAACATTTAATGAATGAAAGCTTCTAAGTTCAGGTGTATAATCAGTATTGACGTATCGGTTAGTGATACAGATAGATATATCCAGCATACTTGATACACGGATCGGAAGCTCGGGAGAGGCATCAAGACAAAAAGGAAAGAAAGAGAAAGCTACTTGGAAGGTCTAAGAATATCGGTGGTAATAAAAAACCAAATAACACATACTACATGAAATTGCCAAGAGAAAAGATCAATAGATAGACACCACTGAGGGCACCTCAATCTGATCAGGTTCAACCCCTGGGTCTGGAAGATCTCCTGGAGAAGGAAATGGCATCCCACTCCAGCACTCTTGCTTGGAAAGTTCCATGGACAGAGGAGCCTGGTGGGCTGCAGTCCATGGGGTCGCAAAGAGTCGGACACAACTGAGCAACTTCATTTTCACTTTCACTTTCAGGGCACATCAAGGCTGCTAACATGCATTGAGAGGAAAAAATGCCTTTGAATAAAAGAGGAAGGAAGAGTCAGGAAGAAAGACAGACAACAAAAATTGGTATCAGGGACGCCTACAGAAGAGGGCTTTCCAAGGAGGGATCGTCCACAATGGCAAAAGCACCAGAGAAGTCAGGAAGACAGCAGAACCCATATTCACCCATATTAGGAGACTCGGCCCACAGCACATGTCTCTCACTGTTGTGACTGCTAAGCCAAGCTTGGTGAGTCTCCGTTGGTTTCTCAGGATCCATCAAGATGGGGTGGGGGAGATTCAGCTAGTGAAGGGCTGGCATGGACAAAGTTGAGGGTGGAGGTAGGATGGGGCGATAATCTCGGGCTTCAGAGTCACGCAAACCTTGTTTTGATTAGTCGCACAACTGGCTCACAGGTAAAGAATCCACCTGCCAAGGCAAGAGACTTGGGTCTGATCATTTTGTCAGGAAGATGCCCTGGAGAAGGGAATGGCTATCCACTCCAGTATTCTTGCCTGGAGAATCGCATGGACAGAGGAGCCTGGTGGGCGAAGGTCCATGGGGTCATAAACAGACAGACACGACTTAGTAACTAAAGAACAATAACAAAAACAACAGCCCCTTACAAGGAGAGAAAGTTACCCTCTGATCTTCAGCTTCCAAAATGTGTAAAGTTAAAATGAAACAATGAAAGCAGGGTGCCGGCATGGTCAAATTCCAACGAGAACTCTTTGGGATTGCATATAGTGCCTTCTGACTATGTCCTCGGGTTCCCAGGTGGCTCGGAGGTAAAGAACCTACCTGCCAATGCAGAAAGTGTGGGTTCAACCCCTGGGCTGGAAACATCCCCGGAGCAGGAAACGGCAACCCACTCCAGTACTCTTGCCTGGGAAATCCCATGGACAGAGGAGCCTGGCGGGCTACAGTCCACAGAGTTGCATAGAGTTGGACACGACTGAGCGTGCACACATGCAACTGCCCTAGCATAGCAGATCTCTCTCTCCCCTCTTCTCTTAAGGGCCCCACCCTTAGACCTCCCACCATTATGACCTCACTTAACAGTATTTATCTCTCTACAGGCCTACCTCCAGATATAGTCTCACTGGGGACTAGGGCTTCAACATATAAATTGGGACAACAGAGACACAATTCAGTCCATATCACAGCCATTCAGATGCCTGACTTGGCACCAGTCAAGTCACCTTTGTAATCTGTTCACTGATTAAGAAAGAGGACCTGAGGTCAGAAACATGGAGACAGACATTCTTGTAGACCCTCCCCCACTTGCCTCTACCCTATTCGGCCCATTTTCTCCTCCTTTCCAGCTTTGCAAAGAAAATGTTCTGGAATCAATAAAGAAGGTAATGTTTCTAAACTATTTTTTTTTTCCTGAAAGACAAAGAACATATATCCTCCTCTCCCTTAAAATAATGAATGGATTAATTTTCTTTTTTAATGTATCATACCTTTTTTCTTGATAGCACCTTGAGCCTGCATATTAGGCTCTCTCCTATTGAGTAAGTGAGATGTATGATGTGGGCTGGACTTCCCAGGTGGTGAAGAATCCACCTGCAATGCAGGAGACCCAGGTTTGATCCCTGGGTGGGGAAGATCTCCTGGAGGAGGGCCTGGCAACCCACTCCAGAATTCTTGCCTGGAGAATCCCATGGACAGAGCCTGGGGGCTACAGTCCATGGGGTCACAAAGAATTGGACACAACTGAAGCAACTTAGCATGCACATGATGTGGGTTCTGTAGAGAAAGATTCCCTGCCTGGGAGGCAGGAAGTTTCCATTTTAAGCTAAGTTCTATTCTAAATTATCTGCAATAGACCAAGATATTTCAAGCTTGGAGCTTGTTTTCTCATTGTAAAATGACTGGGTTGGATTCAACGGCCTTAAGATTTGTCCCATTACTTATGTAAAATAATTCTAACAACACTGACAAGCATTTCAGATTCAAAACACTCTGCTTCCATGGTCTTCAACACAGGATCTTCTATTAAAGTTTGATGGGCCTAATTTGTGACTTTCCTAGGTAAGACCTACATCAGTTCAGTTCAGTTCAGTCGCTCAGTCGTGTCCGACTCTTTGCGACCCCATGAATCGCAGCACGCCAGGCCTCCCTGTCCTACGTAGATATTGTGATATTATGGCACCTGGTGCATTCTCTAAATTGAAGAAAAGCACAGTTTCCTTTCTAACTTGAGAGCAAAAGGCTGCTTTCTGCACGTGGCAGCGAAGTAACTGCAAAGCCAAGAATACACCACTAGAGAGCAGTACAGTGACAGCGATTCTCCGGTACTGGGCATTTCACCCCACAGCGCATCACCGGTCCACACGGTGTAATGGTCACCAGAATATCTGGGCTCTAGCTGCGTTATGGGGTGTCCCTGCAAACATAGACTGTATAACTAAAAAAAAAAAATCAGTGCTTCTGGGAATTATTTAAAACCAGCATGATAAATGTTGTAGACATTTTGACTGCCTGTAAACAAGGTAAATGCCTGAATAGCAAATTCACAAAACTGAGTTGTTTTCTTTCCCTCCGGATGTTTGACGACACAACACGGAACAGCTCCGTTCCGTTTCTCCCTGCGGGCTTTTGCCTCACAAGGCCCTTCGCTATCCCCGAGCAGGGAGCCTTTGTACTGAAAAGCCCTGCCCGAGCCTCAGGCCACTCTCCCGACTCTTGGTGGGATTCCAGGAGAGCAGATAACCCACGGAGGGGCCAACCAACCTGCAGATAACTTGATACAAAGTTCCACACAAACGTGGCCGACGGAGAGGGGCTGCACCAATGAGATGCCCTGGTTCTGAAATTTTCATTTAGAATTATGGTATCATCCAGTTGATGGTAAGGAATAGATATAAAAGGAGAAAATGCAGAGTGATGATCTCCGATTTCTTATCCTGAGGACAATTAGAAAGGCCCATCTTGAGACTTCACTGGTGGTGCAGTGATTAAGAGTCCACCTCCCAGCGCAGGGGAGAGGGCGTTGATCCCTGGTCAGGGAACTAAGATCCCGTGTGCCACGGGGCAACTAAGCCTGGGTGCTGCAGACTGCAGGGTCCATGTGCCACAACCAACACTCAACCAAATAAATATAAACGTAAATAACTGTTTTTTTAAAAGCCTATCCTTAGATCTGGGTTGGGCTTCCCTTGTAGATCAGCTGGTAAAGAATCTGCCTGCAGTGCGGGAGACCTGGGTTTGATCCCTGGGTTGGGAAGATGCCCTGGAGAAGGGAAAAGCTACCCACTCCAGTATTCTGGCCTAGAGAGTTCCATGGACTGTATAGTCCATGGGGTCGCAAAGAGTCACACACATTGGAGCGACTTTCACTTTCTTAGATCTAGGTTGAATCTGGAATCTTTCCCACTTCCAAACTACTGTTCCTATTCCTCTCTAGAGCTGTACCTACCTTCGTTTAAGATTTCTTTCCCCCTCCCTCTTTCCCTTTCTCCTGCCTCCTCCCTCTCAATCCTCCCCACTCTGTTCTTGCATGAGGATCATGTCAATTATCTGAGTTAGATCTAATGAATCATTTTCCCTTCCCCCCCAAAAAAAGACACTTTAAAAAAACTCACATGGGACTCATGTTGCTAGAACCAATTTTCATACATGTGGTCCCTAAAAGTGTTATTCTATTGCCACGGCATGTCCTTGAACTGCAATGGAGTCTAGTGACAGATATAACATTCTTGCATTTTCAAACAGGTTATTATTTTTCTGAATTATAGTTTTTTAAAAAATACCAAGAGATTTGACATGAAGAGATCTGATCAGGGGACCGGATTATAGAGTGTCCAAGTTCCAAGCCCAGTCTATTCACAGGTGCCCTTGCTTCTCCAGAAATGTCATCTAGGAGATGAAGACCACAGCCCCCAGACATTTCTCACTTTCACGCTAGTCCACCCTCCACCTCTAGAAACTCATCAAAATGATCATCTAAGGGTTCTCACCCTCATGGTTCTAGTGGCTTCTGCTTCAGGTAAGCAGATCCCAGCCATGACTGTCTGAATTCCCCTCTCTCCTGATCTCATGATGGCAGTTTGTCCTGGAAATTCTGTATTCTGATGGATCAAGAGAAACCACTGAAATCCAGCAATCACTCCAAGCCATATATCCAGAAAAAATCATAATTTAAAAAGATGCATGCACACCAATGTTCATTGCAACACTATTTACAATAGCCAAGAAACAAACTAAATGTTCACCAACAAAGACATGGATAAAGAAGACATGGTACATAACCTCAGATATGAAGATGACACCACCCTTATGGCAGAAAGTGAAGAAATAAAGAGCCTCTTGATGAAGGTGAAAGGGGAGAGTGAAAAAGCTGGCTTAAAACTCAACATTCAAAAAACTAAAATCATGCATCTGGTCCCATCACATCATGGCAAATAGATGGGGAAACAGTGGAAACAGTGGCTGACTTTATTTTGGGTGGCTCCAAAATCACTGCAGATGGTGATTGAAGCCATGAAATTAAAAGATGCTTACTCCTTGGAAGGAAAGTTATGACCAACCTAGANGTCGGGAAGATTCTGTGAGGTAGGAAATGGCAACCCATTTCAGTACTCTTGCCTGGAAAAGTCCATGGACAGAGGAGCCTGGTGGGCTACATACAGTCCATAGAGTTGCAGACGTGGACACGAATGAGTCTACACACACACACACACACACACACACCACAACATGGATGGAACTAAAGATTATCATATGAAGTGAAATAAATCAAAGGAAAATATCATATGATATTACTCATACTTGAAATACAATTTTTTAAAAAAATGATGCAAACATATTTATAAAATAGAAAAAGGTTTACAGATATCAAAAACAAACTTATGGCTACCAAAAGGGACGTGTAATGGGGAGGGATAAATCGGGAGCTTGGGATTAACACACACACACAGCTGTATATAAGACAGATAACCAACAAGGACCTACTGTATAGCACAGGGAACTCCACTCAGTACTCTATAATAACTTCTATGAGAATAGAAACTGAAAAATAATTAAAATATATCTGCAACTGAATCTTTTTGCCGTACACAACAACGTAGGTAACGACACTCCAATAATTTTTTTTAAAGAGAGAAAAGCCGTTGATTTTTGATTGTTCAGGTTTCTTTTGCTGCAAGGGAAGAGTAGTGACTTCCAAGCTCTTTACAGCCAAGAACAAAAAATGATTTATTGAACACTCACTGTGTGCCTGGCAAAGTGTCTCCTAAGTTCCATATCTTTAATTCTCCCCAAAGCGCCCCAGCAAAGCACCCACTAGTGTAAGCCCAGCAGTGCCTCCTCATGAGCAGCGCCTCAGCAACAGACCCCTCGATGGGCCCTCCTCATTTTAAGGAGAGTTTAGTTCCTTACACAGCAGTGAGTCCTGTCATAACTTGGAGAAATTTCAAAACCCATGTGGATGACTCATCCAATACTCCAGACTCTTCCCTCCGTGACCTCCCACCTCCCCTCAGCGGACCACTTCCATTCTACTCTCATGGCCCTCCACCCCCAAGGCCACATCAAAGGCACGCTTGTCGTTACAAATACTAATCTCTCCACAGTCTCAATCTCAAACACTGCATTTCCTGGCCAGCCCCTCTCTTATCTGTCCAGATCAATGCCTCTAGTTCTCCTGCCCCCAAAACACTTCAGGGCCTACATGTGTACAATCCCTTCCTCTTCTCTCTGTCTCTGTCTCTGTCTCTCTCTCTCTCTCTGTCTCTCTCTGTGTGTCTCTCTCTGTCTCATTCTCTCTCGAACATTACCTTGTACTTATTTCTCTTCCCCTCGCTCCATCCACTGCAGCCAAACAGCCTCCCTACT